ACTGGTTTATGCATCTGGCTATGGAGCCAGAGGTTGGGATTTCGATCCCTCACTGTGTTTCTTTGACAGGGACTGGACTTGATGATCTACTGTGTCCCCTTATAGCTTGGCAGTTCTAAGCTGATGGTGATGAAATTATTTCAGTCAAGCTTCCCAAAATATGAAAGCAAAAGTTTTCTCCAAAGCCACACAGATTTATATCTAGTTTTATTTATTTTAAATGAATTTATTTCTTTTATTTTTTATTAATTACACTTGTAATCAGTCTGTCCTGCAGGGAGCTGAACACTGCAAACTCAGTCCTCCCTTTCCCTCATTTTTTTTCCTCACAGCAACCCTATGAGGAAGTACAGACTGACAGGTAACAAATGGCCCAAGGTCACCCAATGATTTTTATGGCTGATGCGGGGATTTAAAATCTGTTTTTCCCCAGTACTCTGTTATATCAGACTGGTCTGAATAATGGCTTACTCAGACACTGGGATACAGGGACTGTTTAAGAAATGTAGGGTAGAGCTGTGTTTCTCTGTCCTCCTTGCCAGCTGGGATTTTGTGGCACAAACCTCTGACTGCAGTATAGCAGCAGCTGGGCAAGGAAATATATAAATAGATGCTGTGTGGTACACAGGGAGTACACAGTGGGTTCAACAAGAAATATCAAATCATTTGGTGCAGTTTTATTTCTCCTATTGCACAATCAGGCAAGTACAGACAGTCCCGGGCACTCGGCGAACTTATCTTCCATTCCTAATATGAACTAACCATTAGAATATAAGAGAGATCATAGTAACACTGGTTAGAGCTCTTTTTTTTTTTATTTTTTGAGCTGTTATGAGTCCTTCAGCACTATGTAAAAGCACAAAAGGCCAGAGAAAGAACCACGGAATTTAGCTTCTGCCAAGCATCAGCTTTTTTTTTTTTTTTAAGGAGCACATTTCTGTCCTGCTAAATGAAAAAAAAAATAATGATTGGAGGCGGGCAGGTGAGCTTGGCCAATGGTGCGGCTAAAAAATATTGTAAATAAATAAATAAATAAATAAAATGGCCAGATCCAGTGGCAATTACTGAAAGAGATTCTTTGGATCTAGAGTGAACAACCGCAGCACACTGGGTGACTGACTACCTGTCCCTCCCTTAGTGCCAGAATAAATTAAAATTAAATATCCGGTATGTATCAGCATACCTTTTGTTAGTCACAGAATTTGGGTGATATGGCAACAGAATGTTCATTTGATTCCTTCCACACTGAGTACACCTAGCTATACTTCACTTCCTTTCCACAGAACTGGAAAACTTACTTTTAAGAAAAATAAGTACAATGACGTGTGAAAGCTATCCATAAGTGTGCATTAAGTTCATTCTTTTAAAAAAGGAAAAACAGTCCTACAGTACCTTGAAGGCAAAGGCACTTATTTGCACTTAGTGTTCATGCATTACATTTCAGCAGATGCTCAGACTGCAGGATTAGTTGTCAGACAACTGGGGCTTGTACTCTATGCATCTGATGAAGTGGGCTGCAGTACACGAAAGCATCTCTCCAGTAAAATTTGTTAGGCTTTAGAGGTTAATATAGCCTTAACTGCTTTGTTGTTGTCTTTTACAAAACACTCACCCAGTTCAAACACCCCACCCTAAAATTCTTCTTATAATTAACTTTTCTTGGGAAAGGAATAAAACTTGCTGTGCCCTATTTCTAGTCAGATGAAGAGCAGTTGAGATCCTTTGCTTTCTAGGGAATAACATGCTACATGAAACTTCCGTAAAGACTGTAAGAAAGGAGCAATCACAAACTGAAAAGAAAAGAAAGCTGACAGGGAACAAAAAGTTCTGCATTCAGGCTGCCCCTGCTTAATCTCTAAACCCCAAAGTGAAAGAACAAGTTTCAGTTCTCAGAAGAAAGTATTAAGGAAACGTCTACCAGGATTAGGGGGAAAATCCTACAGAAAAAGAAGAAAACATAAAAACAAAAGACAGAACAGAAGTCACTCCCCCACTGAGCATGAGCTAATAAATCACACGGCCCTCCTTCTGACTAGCTTTAGGAAACTGCTTTCTGAAACTCAGTTATAAGTCGGGCCGCTTACGTTGGCAGTTCAGTGCAGTGGTAAACAAATGATCACCTGTGAAACATGGAGTCTTAGGTTTGTCCCCTCTCCTCATTTGCAACAGGAGAATAATAATAACTGGGGTCTACCTCTAGATTGGGGTGGACAATGTTTTGGGTTCAGGGAAATGTATTAACATCCCACCCTAGCATGAACGGAAGGGAGGCAAATCACCAAACAAAAGCATAACAGAGCCAGAACTTAGAATGAGCTCAGACTTGCAAAAGACATTAGAAGTAACTACAAGGCATTATTCAGCTATGGAACTTGAAGAAGAACAAGGAAGCAGCAGGTCCAAAGTGTGGAAAGGAAAAACGTCAATGAGTGACAGAGAGCAGGCAGAACTGCGCAATGTCTACTCTGCCTCTGTCTTCTTCCAAAGGAAGAAATGGAATAGTTTATTGTACTGTAAAAGTCTAGTTCAAGTAGAATAAAGCAGTGCAGCGGCAGGGGTAGAAGACTGGTAAAGAGATATTAGAGGAATATTGAGCTACTTCTGCTGATTTTAAATTTCCAAGGTCAGATGAAAACTATCAAAGAGTACTAAAGAAACTTGTGGATACAATCTCAGGCTCTCTGTTTATAATCTTTGAGAATTCTTAGAGTCCCTGAAGACTTGGGAGGTGAGCAATCAATGTCCTCCATTAAAATGGGGGAAAGAGTGGATTCAAGCAAATTCTGACAGCTTGAGATAAATACCAGGAAAAGTTCTAAAACAAATATTAAATGGCCAGTTTGTAAGTATTTAGAAAACAAAGTAGTGATTACAAAGAGCCAGAGCAGATTTCTCAAGAAGAACTCACACCAGACTAATCTTACAGCTTTTTTGATATTGTTACAAGCTTGGTAGACCACAAAACTGCTAAGGATGTAAGTGTATCTTGATACGAAGAAGTGTTTCAACAAGGTCCCTCATGGTATTCTTGTGGGGAAGTTGATAAAGTGCAGGCTAGATGTTGCGGCTGTTAGGTGGATTTATAGCTGGTTGACAGACTGCACTCAAAGAGTAAATCACCAATGGTTTTTTGTCATCCTTGGGAGAAGTGACAAATAAAGTACCTCAAAGTTCTGTCTAGGGCCCATTGTTGTTTAACATTGTTATAACTTACTTGGATGAAGGAAGAGAGGGGATGCTCATCAAATCTGTGGATGATACCAAACAGGCAGTGGTAGCTAATACTTCCAAAGACAAAATCAGAATTCAATATGACCTTAATGTGTCAGAAAACTGTCTCAAAACAGGTTTGAATAGGGAAACATTTAAAGTTCCACATTTAGATAGGAAAAGGGCACAAATGCAGGATGGGCAACATCTGGTAGTCTGTGAAAAGGATCCAGGGTTTTTATTAGATCAAGGAAGTACACTGAAGAAGCCTCCCCAAAGGATTTGATGATTGTGAAGACATATGGACATTCCCTGGGCAACCGGAGTGCCACTCCAGAAGCATCACTGGATTGCTTCACATACGAATGGAGAAGAAGAATTAGACTACAAGTTAAATGTGAGCCAACGGTGCGATACTGCAGCAAAAAAAGCTAATGCAGTATTAAGTTGCAGCAACAGAATGATGGTGTCCAGATCAAGGGAAGTTATAGCAACACTCTACTGTGCATTGGTCAGATGTCACTTGGGATATTGTGTCTGATTATGGGCATCACAGTTTGAGAAGGATACAGTATCAAGAAGGTGGAAAGTGCCCAGAGAAGGGCAATTAAGATGGCAAGGAAGCTGAAAAACCCTGTGAAGAATGGTTGAGAGAACCAGGTAAGGCTAGGGAAGAAAGGACTGAAAGGTGATGTGATAATCATCTTCAAATATCCGAAGGGCTGTCACATGGATGAAGGACAAATATTGTTTCCTGTGGCTCTGGAAGGTAGAGATGTGAAATAACAGATCCAAATGACAAGAAATGCAGAACTTCCTGACAGCAAATGCTGTTCAGTGACGGAACAGAATATCTTGGAAAATGGTGGAATTTTCTTCATTGTAGGTTTGTTTAAAAAAGGCTGATGGTCGTATGTTAGGGATACTTTAACTGTGAATTTCCTGCTTCATCAGGTGTTTGAGTCTGATTATGCTAGGGGCCCAAGTAGCTCTAAAATAATTCTATGAAACCAAGACACAGGAAGCAGCACCTTATTTTAAAGCAGAACCACACTTCCAAAGTGATGCAGTTGCAAAAATAAAGCTGTGCTTTTTTGTGTTCACTACAACAAATATGGCAGCAAAGGCAGCATCTTGAGGAATCCTCAGAAATGTCAAGGGTCTGTGCACCCTGCATATGCCAAACCTGTTGCCCAATCTTGCTCTGTGAGGTCCGTAGAGACAAAAGGCATTAAATGCTCTGAACCATCAACAATATTTAAAATCCCATGCATTGTTATTGTTGTTGTAATAATAATTATTATTATTCAAAAATACCAGGCACAATCAATCAAAATTATAAAAACATTGACTGGCATTATGTAACAGATATAAGTTTTAACCAAAAACCTAAGTATCTGTTACATATCAGCGCAGTATGTGTGCTATTCCTCATACCGCCATTTTTGTAGCTCTGGTGGTGTGATTTCTGAGATTTGCAACTGCTTATAATAATCTTTAAAATTTCTTGTTGTCCTTGCAAGCAGGGTGAAAAAGAACTAAAATTATCAACAGTACTTTACATACCCTTTTACATAGGACGTGAGTCCACTAGGTATCTTACAAATCCTTTAAAAATACTAGTGGAAGAAGGGTCAGCAGAAACATGTCATCTAACAAATGCAAGAGAGAAAAGAACTATTATAACTGTCGCTTAAAAACAAAACTGGCACCAGTTAATATTGCTGGGAGATTATTCAACAAAATGGGATGCACTTTTCTAGTTATATAGAAATAAATAAGGTACTAACCTGAGATTGTATTATTATGCCACCATCACTTCCATCGTCCTTGCTACAAAGAAGAAAATGTTTAGATTAAATGCCTATCATAACAGAAACAGCATCATGTTCACATTTTTTCTCAATGATGCTCCAGGTTGCAGAGCCACGAGGAAGAAGGGAAGGAGGCAATGAAATCAGCTGCATTTGGACATTCCTCAAATGCCACCTAGAGGCGGCAATTCCATCCGGCGACCTCAGCTGTTTCTGTCTGGGCCCTTTAGAAGAACTAGTGCATATGCTTGCTTTTTTCATCCTCCTTCCGCATTTCATTGTGTTATGTCTTTTTCCTGAAAGCAGACACTAAGATGCTATGGGAGACCTTCTGGCTATACAGCATGATAAAAACGCTGTATAGCTTTTGAATATTGTATTTTATTGATGAAGGTCACCTTGGACCCTTTTTAAGGAGAAAAGCAGGGAGAAATAGTTTAAATGAATGAATGAATGAATGAATGAATGAATGAATGAATGAATGAATGAACAGTTTAAATAGGTAAATAAATACATTGGTACCTTGACTTACGAACGCCTTGACCTACGAACATTTTGAGTTAGGAACAGCTCCGGACACTAAATATTGCTTTGAGTTACGAACGGAGCTTTGACTTACGAACGAAAAAAAACTTTCCTACCCTTTTTTTTTGACCTAAGTTCATCTTAGGTCAAAAGAAGAAAAAAGAAAAAAAATTCACCCTTGACATAAGGACAAAAAATCCCAGCCAGAACAGATTAATCGATGTTCAATGCATTCCTATGGGAAATGGTGCTTTGACTTATGAATGTCTTGACTTATGGCCACCGGTCCAATACAGATTAAGTTCGTAAGTCAAGGCACCACTGTATGAGGGATGATCATGTTAGTTACTAAGGAAATTCAAAGTCTTCCAGAAAATATCAACATAACTCTTCACCCATTTAAGTAAAGCTGAGTCACAGGTTTCTTAAGAGTGGTGTATGCAGGTAAATGCTATCTAAATCAAGACATCCTGAAGTTAACACAACTAACTTGCAATGTCACCAACAGATAATTTGTCTTTAGGATTAAATGAAAACTTGGCCACAGTGATATGTATAAACAAGTCACCTGACTTCTGAAAACACTTCCATGTCATCTGGTCCTGTTCTGTCCACAGGTCTCAATGAACTAAATGTTTCCATTGCCTGTAAAACATTAAAAAAAAACAACAATTATTATGAATCATCATAAAAAAAAAAAAGAATCCATATTTGAAACCAAAAGTACATGGTTTGTTTTCCCCCTCATAGAGTCATGATCCTACTGTGCATGCTTTGTGGTATCAAGTACTAAAGCACCCACAATTATAAAGCTGTGATTCTCAAACTGTATTCTATGGGCTTCCACAGGGTATGCTAAATACATCTGTACATCCCCGGATACAAAAAGGCTTCTGTAACAGGCATAAGGGAGTGGGGCCAACCCACTGGGGGATATTAACCAACCCACTACCATGCTTCTGAATATCTTGCGGCATCTCCAACAATCCATTCTCAAAACAGGATCTGTGAGGAGCACATGTTTTGTTTCTCATGGAACTTGGACTTCCAGAAGGCTTCTGGGAGCATACTCTGGGTTGAAGCTAAGTAGCATGCTCCTTCACAGGCCTTTTTCCAAAGAAAAAGCATATGTGTCTTGGGTTTGTTTGCTGCCATAATACCTACAAAAAGCATACTCTGGGTTGAAGCTAAGGGGCATGCTCCTTCACATGCCTTTTTCCAAAGAGAAAGCATACGGGTTTGTTTGCTGCCATAATACCTACAAATTCAGCAATGGTAATGGCATTGAAGTAGGAGGTTTGAAACTGGGCAACTCCATTCTCCGATTCTTCTGTTATGCCTTCTATTTGCCATCAAATGCTGAGGTAATTGATAATTGTTCTCAAATCAAATAGGTAAGACCTCCATGTTTATCACACATCTAACTTTTAAAAAAACCTCACAATAATGCTGTCATAAAATGAGGGCCTTCTCCTATATGGGGAAAATTACTATATCCTTATAAGACTGATGCCTTATGAGGATATCAGCATTATAAGTAAAAACCCAGGAGTTTGTCAACAACACCTTCATCATGTGCCTAAAAACTGACTTTGTTTGGTTTTTTCCCCAATCCACGCAATTTTAAAAACCCTTCCTTTGCCCATTCCCACCACCACTACATGTCCCAGGACCCCCAGATCTCCACCTGGAAAAGCCAGCTGAGTATAGTAGTTTAAATATTACACTGGGACCTGGAAGATTCTGGTTTAAATCCCCATTGAGCCATGAAACTCACTGGGTGACCCTGGGCCAGTCCTTCTCTCTCAATGCAACCTGCCTCATAGGCTTGTTTTGAGAAAACTGTGGAGGAAAGCCACCAATGCTGCCTTGAGCTCAATGGAGTAAAGGAGGGACAATACATGTCACAAACCGATAAAGACATTTTAGAAGATCTTAAAAAGGTAAAGAAGGAGTGGTTGTTGTGGGGTTTTCGGGCTCTTTGGCCGTATTCTGAAGGTTGTTCTCCCTAACGTTTCGCCAGTCTCTGGCATCTTCAAAAAACCCACAACCATTAGATCCCGGTCGTGAAAGCCTTTGCGAATACAGTAAAGAAGGAGCTTATTCAGTATGCTGATGAGACAGAACAAGAGGAATTTATCCTCTATGAACCAAATGAGAGTATGTCAACTATTGCCTGGCATGTGGAGGAGTAAAAAGCAACTGGTTTGTATTGTCACTCCCTTCTGTACTGTGCTTTATCTCCTGGTTGCAAAATGCACTGCAGTGCTTTGCTGGCTGCAAACCAGCATTCCTTAAAGGCAGTGGTTCCCAGTCTTGGATCCTCAGGTGTTCCCTTCAAGGCAGTGGTTCCCAGTCTTGGATTCCCAGGTGTTCTTATACTAAAACTCCCAGAAGCTTTTCACCATGACTTGTGCTGGTCCAGAATTTCTGGGAGCTGTAGGACACCCGGGGTCTCAAATTCGGGAGACCCTGCTTTAGGGCAAAATAAAGCTATTTGTCCTATGCAACCCTTCTTCCAAGCTCCTTCTACTGTCCCCCCCATCCCCAATGGAGAATCAAGCCTCTAGGAGACATGATTCTTGATTTTAAGGAAACTTTAGGAAATAGTCATAACTGGCAACTTTGGCAGACAAGGCGATCAGCACCATTCTCAGCACCTACTCTGCTCTAAGGCACAAGTGTATCCATTGCCAAGAGAAAGAAGAAGGTAAATGCTGTGCATTTCCAAAAGAAAGTAACATTTATACTTTCCAGAAAATGGAAGGGGCTTGCAGGTGTGGTTATTTATTTTCCTAACATTAACCCTCTATATCCTGGTGCTCTGGGGCAAGGCACAGAAATGTGTGGAGAATAGCACATGTGATTAGTGCTCTCTATATCCTGGTGCTCTGGAGCAAGACACAGAAATGTGTGGAGAATAGCACATGTGCAGTCCCTGGACACCCCAACACTTGCCCATTCTGCTTTAATGATGCTCTTCAATATAATAGCACTATGCTTCTGGCTTTGAATCTAACCAAACTCCTAGCTTTCAGTGGCCAAGACTCTTTCCTTGGATGCCAGCTAGCTGTTCCATCAGAGCCTGCATTCCTTTAGCTTCATTGCCATCCGTTCCTCAAGGGGAAACTGCTGTTTGCAAGAGGGACAGTTAAGCATCCACTCAATTCTCCAAGGCGATCTTGAGAGTGACTTCTCTGTTGCTGGCATATGAAGAAGAGACTAATGTAAGCCAAATGGTTCTAGTAGAACATCTCTGTTCAGTCTTCACCTGACTCTGAAGAAGTGACATTAATGGACTTGTGCTTACCAGAGGACTGTCCTTGTTGTCATTAAGCTCGGAAAGTTTGGTGCTCGATTTCTGGCGCTTCGGTTTACTCCTTTCTCCGATGTACCCAGAATTGTTCTCTTGCAACTTTTCAACTTCTTGACCAGTCAGCATATATTCCTCAATGCTACTGAAGCCAGAAGGAATATTTTCTTTATTGATGACCTCCCTAAACAGGAAAAAAGTGCAGAGTTTACACAGAAAAGCGAGGCTCAATATTTTGAGGAATTCCTATCTTAGAAATAATGATAATTTTAAAAAATCTACACAAGAGTATACCAAACACCAGATTGGCACTACCTTCCCCTGTAATCTGCTCAGCAGAAAAGATCTACTTTATTAGATTTTCCTTCACAAGGCTTTTTCTAATTTATATGGATTATTACTTTAAAAGATAATCTGTTAGAGTCAGGTGCCTTGTATACATGGGTCTCATTCAACTACAATATTCATTAAAACCACACATCCTTTTGGTTATTAATTGTTCAGGAATAAAGCGCCACCACCCAAAGAGGCAGGTATACTCTGAATCAATTTGCAGGTTATGCCTCTGAATTATTTCCTAGGACAAAACGTTTCACACACACTAGCAATTAAAAACGTATTAGGCTGCAGTACATTGAAAAGCTGATGTCGAACCCAGGCGCTTTCTGTCAAGCTTCCTTAAAGCAGATTCCAAACTTAATAGCAACCATGTTGCTTTAGACTCAAATTTACTTCAGGGAGGAATGGAGGAAAATGGGAAGAAAGCATCCCAATTTGGGTATTTAATACAATTGAAATTAGAGAGTGAGCTGCAGGATCACAAAGTCAACAAGAGAGGAAACTTGGGCCCCTGTAGAGAGATCTGCAGGTCAACATGACCCATTCCTCAAACTCTAATTCTGGAGGATAGCAAGAATGATGACTAGACAAGGTGAGACTTCTTGACATTGCTCCTCCTTTCCCTTTCTGACATGAGGAGGAGGAGAGAGAGAAAAGTTGCGTTTTCAACCAAAGCAACAGGTGGAAAACTCCATCTGGTGCTTTGCCTGAGATCCTGTGACATCAAAGGTTGTGTGCATGGCCAACATTACATGACTGAATTCCCGATCATACAAATGACAGAATAAATCCATTTACACAGAAAATCAGCAAGCAGGGAAAGTGTTCTATATTCTCCCTCTCTCTCTCTGGCCAATTCTCAATATGTGTGGCTATGTTTTATGTACTGTGGAACGTTCAATCATACCAATACACAAAGTGGAACAGCTACTGGCTTTCAACTTCAGTGAGAGCTGAGCCCTTTGTGTGGGCAGAAAGTGTATATGACAAGATGCAAAACATGTGAATTTAATGATACGATAATGTAAAAGCTCTGCAGTTCTGAGATTATTATTACTGAACTGCTGGGTAGATCAGTCGTTTAGATCTATGGATGCAGAGGCTGGGGGTTTGATTCCCCATTGTGCCTCCCTGACAGGGGCTGGACCCGATGATCAATGGGGTCTCTTCCAGCTCTGCAGTTCTAAGACCCAATGATCAATAGGGTCCCTTCCAGCTCTGCAGTTCTAAGATTATTATTATTAAAACACATCACCAAAACCTGATTTGGGTAAAAGAGCTTGACAGTGTGCAATAATGTGGTATATTAAATTGAAAATATTAGAATTGCTTGCTTATTGAAATCTTTCCTCCCCCTCAAAAAAGTCAGCCTTTGTTTTCCCTGAAGCAAAGGGCATGAACTGCTACACCAAGCTTGTAATGCTCAAAAGTAAAGTTAGGAAGCATATAAAACACTGTAACTTAACTTTTGATCCTGTAAGATTTCAGTTAGTACCGATAGAAATCAAACAGACTATTTTTCAAAATACTCAGGAAAGTAGGAGCTAAACTTCTTGAAAAGCATCTAACTTTCCTATACTCCCAAGTTTCACTCCCTGTTCATGTTGTAACAGCAATACAGTGGTGCCTCGCATAACGAGCGCCCCGTTTAATGACGAATCCGCATAGCGATTCTTTTTTGCATCTTTTCCGCGGCTGCTCTGAAGCGCCGGCCGGCCAGCATATTCGGGGTGGGCGCGTCGGAGCTCCCTCCTTTCACCCGACGCTGGGTCCTCTTTGCGCTGGGCTGAGCTCAGCCGACACGAAGGGGACTCGAAGTTGGTTGGAAGGAGAGAGCCGATTCCTCCCTGGCCCACCGGCTTGCTTCTGAAGCCACCCATTGCGCCGATGGGGATCCCCAGGGAGGTCTCCCAGGGCTTGCACGCCACCATGGGAGACCTCCCTGGGGGTCCTCGCCGCTGCGATTGGTGCCTTCAGAGGTTTCAAAGGGCTTTCCCCGACATTGGAGGAAGCCCTTTGAAAGCTCCAAAGGCAGTGGAGCGCCAGGCAGGCCAGGCCCCTGGCCACTCGCCCCCGGCCGCGCGGAA